GGTCCTGGTCGCCCAAAAGGCTCAAGAACGAGGCCAAAGAATCCGAAACCAGCAATGATACCACTAGCATGCCAAGGGTCAACAAGGCTCCAAGCGGCCTCGAAAAGGCGCCGCACAGGCGAGCCGGACGACACCATGGACGAGCAACCAGACGACAATGAATGGCTCAGCATTCAACCCACTCCGGCCGATCTCCCTCAACCTGACACTCCGCAGGATAGCCGGGAACACCGACTTACCCAATTCATTAACGAGTTCACCTCTGTCAACATGGCCGGTAACACGTCCGAGCCTGATGACGAGGACGAACTGGACCCGGAGAGCCCCGAATACCGCAAATTGGTGGTTCTGAAATACAAGCAGCGACAAGCGATACCAATCGGATCTTCTCCGCCGATTTTTACGACGGATGCACCAACAATCGAAGACCCAAATGATGAAGTATGGCACGAGGCCAGCGAACGAAGCGATGACGAACAAACTCATCAATGAAATCGTTTGAGATTCTTCAATACAACGTACACAAATCGTGGCCAGTGATGGCAACGTTCCTCAGAGACAGAAATGTCCTCGCGGCGGACGTCGTCGCGGTGCAGGAGCCATGGAAGAACGAAATGCAACACACAACACACCAACCAGCGACGGCAACATTCCAGCTAATTTACCCACCAAAAGCAGCTGCCGACGGAACAACCCAAGGCCAGGACAATCAAGTCCAAGCCTCGGATCTCTCCCAACCGGGCGTATGCCTGTTTGTGTCTAAAAGGCTTGACCCGAGCACTTGGTCGTGTCAACTCGTCTCACAGGACTACCAGTTACTGAAACTTAGAAAGGCTCATCAGGGCAGAGACTGGACAGATCTCTTCATACACAACATATACAATAGGCCGGGCAGCAATACTCTTAGACATCTGAGAAATGAGCTGTCAAAACGACCTCATGGAGAACACATCATCCTTGGAGATATGAACGCGCATCACCCGAGATGGGGAGGAACAGGGACCAGGCTCGATCAGGAGGCCGAGCAACTCCTAGAAATCGCCAATGAATGGGGACTCGAGTTGACGACCCAACAAGGCAGACCTACCTGGTCTCGAAACGATCAGTCGTCGGTGATTGACCTCACCTTCATCACATCCAACCTTGTCAACAGGCTTATCAATTGCGAGAGGGCGGATGACATCGAACACGCATCCGACCATTTCCCGATCAGGACTGTGCTTGATATTATTACACCCATTGCAGTACAACAGAAGAGAAGAAACTGGAACGCAACCGATGATCAGAAACTCATCCAGAAGATCGAAGGAGGTCTACGGACAGGAGGCCTATACCGGGCAAATCCGCAAAGGATAGAAGCCAAATGCCAGGAGCTGATGGGAGCGATCCAAACAGCAATCGAGGAATCAACCCCATGGGCAAAACCATCCGCGTGGTCGAACCCCGACTTTGACGACGAGTGTAAAGTTGCGGTCAAAGAGGTTCGTCGCCTCCGTCGCAAACATACGAGAACTCAAGACCCCTACGACTGGATGTGCTACTCTGAAGCACACAACAGAAAAACACGACTCGTCAAGAGAACCTTGTCAAGGGCGCACCGGCGCCGAGTCCAGCAGGTCATTGAAGATGGCCCACAGGGTATGTGGCGATTGGCTAAATGGGCAAGAAACCGAGATGGGGCCTACGAGAAGGGTATCACCCCTTCGCTGAAAATACAGGATCCCCAAATGCCTGGAACTCTCGCAGAAACAGTTGATCAAAAGGCAGAGGCATTCCGGATTGCCTTCTTCCCCAAACCGCCGCCAGCCGATCTATCCGACACGGACTCATTCCAGTACCCACAGCAAATCGAGTTTCCAGCAGTCACCGCTCAAGAGATACAGGAGGCGGTGCGAGGAGCGAAAGCAGGGAAAGCACCCGGAGAAGACGGTATACCAAACTCTCTCTGGCACAAGCTTATCGAGATACCGGTGGTTCTAGCAACAATGGTCCAGTTATTCAACGCATGCATAAACACGGGATACAACCCGTCACATTTCCAGCGCTCAATCACGGTAGTGCTCCGGAAGCAAGGCAAAAGTGACTACCAGCTCGCAAAATCCTACAGACCCGTCGCGTTGCTGAACACGCTCGGAAAGTTTCTGGAGGCAGTTGTCGCGCGACGGATCAGCTACGCAGCAGAAACCAACGGTTTACTCCCACGAAACCATCTAGGCGGGCGAAAGGGCATATCCACCGATCATGCTATCCACACTATCATCGACCGAATCAAGACTGCATGGGGAAAGGGCAAGCCAGTGGTATCTCTGCTAATGCTGGACGTGTCCGGAGCGTACGACAATGTCTCCCATGAACGTTTACTACACAACCTCAAGAAACGTCGCTTGGGACATTTCGTTCCCTGGGTGAGGGCCTTCTTGACCAATCGAAGCACAAGGATCCGCATGCCCGAGGGCACATCCGATCGAATCCTGACACCTACAGGCATCCCTCAAGGATCACCGATCTCACCCATTCTATATCTCATCTACAACGCAGACCTCGTTGAGAACTGCAGCAACGGTGTGACAAGCAACGGGTGGGTCGACGATGTTTGCTTCATGACAAAGGGAGACAGCGAACGCGAAACCATCAAGAAACTCAGAGCGGCATGCCGCAAAGCCGACCAATGGGCCGAGAAACATGCATCAGTTTTTGACCCGAAGAAGTATGCACTCGTGCATTTTGTAAACACCAGGGAAGTCGACCCACAACACACATCGCTTTCTCTACGAGGACACACGGTGACAGCGACGAGGACGGCTGAGCGGTACCTAGGCTATTGGCTGGATCCGGGTCTGGAATTCCACCATCACCGCGAGAAAGCGGTGGCCAAGGCCGGTGTCTCTCTCCACGCACTACGAAGCCTGGCAGGATCAACGTGGGGAGCCTCACTCTATGCAATGCGAAAGATCTACCAAGCGGTGATAATCCCGCAGATGCTCTTTGGGGTTTCCGCGTGGTATCAACCTATGCTCATCAGTCATTCCAAGGCACGCATAATCAGTCGGCCTTTCGTGGCAATCCAGAAGCAGGCAGCATGTCTCATCAGTGGAGCTTTCAGAACTACGGCAGCAGAGGCACTGAATGCAGAGCTTCACCTACCGCCTATTTCTGTTCACATGAATCGACTGGTGAAAGAAACGGCCCTTCGACTACGGACAGGACCAAAGTTCGCTGTCCCGCCAACGATGTTACGTCGACGACCGGCAGATGAGAGAGACTGGGCTGGATGGTCACCGATGGAGGCGCAAGCTTGGAAGGCGGGCGGATGTCTTATGGCTCCCCCGGATACTTTGACGAGGAAATGGGAGAGTCGAAAGGCATTCGTCCTGGCACCATGGCAAGCGCCACCAGAGGTAATCATCGAGGAAAGAGAAGCTGCGGTGAACAATCACAACCAGATCCTGATGAAAGACCCAAGAGAAAGACCCTTGATTCTGTACACCGACGGGAGCGGAATTGATGGAAGGATCGGAGCGGCAGCGGTCGTGGACCTTGAGGATCAACATGCTCATAGCCAGATGGGAGATGATAATACGTCCACCGTATATGCGGCAGAGCTTCGAGCCATTGAGATGGCACTTGAAATGGTTCTGGAAAGCACAGAGCCATGGGCTAAGCAGGCGAAAAACGGGGTAGTCATCTTTGTAGACAGCCAAGCAGCGCTGAAGGCGCTGAGACGACCGCGGATGCCGTCAGGACAGGTCTATCTAGCAGGATGCCTCAACCTGATCCGACAACTTGCGGGCAGAAGCATTCGGACAGAACTCAGATGGATTCCTGCGCACCAAGGAGTCATTGGCAACGAGATCGTGGACCAACACGCAAAAGAAGCGGCGCAGGAACCGGACGGGCTGCATAACCCCCTCAACCGAGACATATGTCTCGCAGCCGCAGCGAGACGACGAATTCGCAGAGAAGCGAAGCTGGAGTGGGACAGAACGTGGGCCAAGGAAGCGACCAGTCGTCCGACGAAACGCTTGATTGAAGCACCAACAAAGAAGACGCTGGAATACTGGACGGGCTTGCGCAAAGCGACGACATCGATTCTGATGCAGCTTAGAACTGGGCGAATTGGCCTAGGGGCTTACCTGAATCGTATCAACCGACGCGAAACAGCGCGGTGTGATTGCGATCTTGGCAGCCAAACAGTAACACACGTCCTACTGGAATGCCCCTTGCACCAGGACGAGCGAGACTGGATGAGAAGCGCTCTCTCATACCAGGGAGTCGCTCTCCACCGGGACGAACTCCTCACACGACCGGAGGCCCGCACAGTTGTGGCCGAATTCATGGTCAAGACCGGCCTCCTAGGCCAATTTCAGACAGTCGACCCTACGGCTCTGGGCGAGGAAGGGGACGACAAAGGAGCGGAGACAATGATCCCTTAGACAGTGTGACGGAAGAAGAAGGATGGCGCCCATTAGGAGTGCAGTGCCAGGTCCACTGTACTCCCTTGATCCAAGCGAGCGCGCAAGCGGCAGCCGACAAGACTGGACAGTTGGAGAGAAGAGGGCGTGGGAATGGTGTGTTGAAGCGGGGCCCTGGTCCTACCCGCGACCAGGGGTAAATGACGTTCATTTTGGCTTTGTGTTTATCATGTTTGCATCCGTGCATTTCTTTTGTTTAGTTTACGTCTTTCGATTCGAGGGCGATTGATCAGAAATTCGCAAGGCGAGTTCCCTGACAGTCGCCCAGTGGGCTGGCGACCACCTTCCAGCTGTCGGCAGGCCTGACAGCACTCCCGCATAGCAGCATATATATAGAGCGAGCTACATCGGGCAAATGAATACATCATCATCATCATCATCATCAACAGTTCCTAGAAGGTCTCCCTGCCAAGCGAGAATCACCCCCATCTGAGAAACTTAATTTTCCCCTATTGATTGGCCCCTTTTCTTCAAAATTTCCAACAAAACCACGGTAGATTTAGGAAAATTAATGTATGTAGGAGAATAATGGAGACTCCATCACCAGAAACTCGTGCTCATCGAGCCATCGAATCGTTCGGGTTGGGGCATTTTGTGTCGTTAAGATCCGCAGCCCTGGCCCTCGAGGTTCCAGTCTCAACAGTCTATCATCGGGCAGCTGGGAGGCCATCCAACGCTCACAAGTCAAAAAATCAACTTGCCTTACTTGCCGAAGAGGAGAAGGTTCTCATTGAATGGATTTTTCAGCTCCATCGTCTCGGTGTTTCTGCTCGGCCGTCCCGAGTTCGAGGGATGGCGGAACACATCCGTCGAACCAGAACGGGCGCTGATTTGCTACCGTTAGGCAAGAATTGGGTGACAAAGTTCACAAAAAGACACCCGGAAATCAAAAGTGTGATGGGTGCAAGACTGGATAAGGAGCGCTGGAACAGTGTTACTCGGGAATCCATGGAAGGGTGGTTCAACTTGCTCAAGTCTGTGAAGGAGGAATACCGGATCCTTGACAGCAACATCTATAATATGGATGAAAAGGGGTGTATTCTGGGAATATCAGAGAAGGCGCGGGTTCTGATTCCTTCCAGCTCTCGTGTCAAATACATAAAACAAGCCGGTGACCGAGAATCAGTCACGGTTATCGAATGTATTAGAAGCAGTGGAGAGGTTATTCCACCCTTCGTGATCTGGAAAGCTCACACGCATCGGGATAATTGGATCCCCGTCACAATGCGCCAATCCATGAATGGAACTGCTTTCGCGACTAGTCCGAATGGATACACTGACCATGAGCTTGGGTTTGAGTGGTTGAGGACCATTTTCCATCCAGCAACCGTTCAATCAGCCCGGGGTCACACGCGGCTTCTCATCATGGATGGAAATTCCAGTCACCTCACCAGCAAATTCCTGGGATTCTGCCATGACTACAACATCTTACCACTCTGTTTACCGCCTCATACCACGCATCTCTTGCAACCACTCGATGTGGGGTGCTTTGCACCACTCGCCCATTACTACCGAGTGGAGGTTGATGAGGCCACGCAATATGGTTTGCATGGCGTTTCCAAATATAGCTTTCTACAGTTCTACTCAGTGGCTCGCGAAAAGACATTCAAAGCAGAAACCATTCACTCTGCCTACCGGAAAGCTGGAATTGTTCCGACTGACCCTGAAGTGGTTCTCCAGCAACTCATTGACCCCGCCGAACCAGCCGGCGATCTGATTAAGCGTCCTGCGCTCCCATCACCTCCGTCACGGCCAGGGAGCTCTACAAGCTCTGTACCAACACCACGGGATTATGCAAAGCTGATCGAGTACTGCGGGCGGTTGGAGGAGTACGTTCGAAGCCGAGACAACCAGAACAGCCCGTCTCAGAGGTTGTCTAACAAAGTATACAAAGCTGTAGTCCGCAAGAGCGCCGAGTTTACAATCCTCGAAGAGACTAATGCAGGATTGACCAAGGTCATAACTGCCAAAAAGGAGAGAACGAAGCTGAGAAGGCGTGTTATCTCAACCGGGCGGGTTCTTACCCTAGTCCAAGTGCATGAGATCAGGGAGGAGGAAAAGAAGCGCCAGACAGAAAAAAAGAAGCGACCAACGGAAGGCAGCAAGAATATGAGAAAGTCGCCGAAACGCAAAAACACCAATGATATGACTTCCGGGCATAATAAGAGACTTAAGTTGCATTGTGAAGAGCCGCGACCAGAGACTCACACCAGTGAACCGACCGTGAACCCGCTACCGACAACAGCCTCCACGATCACCAACAAAGAGGCTATGGACCTCAACACTTCCTACGATACTTGCGCAGTCGACAACATTTCTTCATTTGAGATTAAAGGGATGGAAGTACCGAATCTGCAAACACCAGCTTTGTTAAATGGTCAATTACCAGCAAGCGGGGGTCAAACTGCCCCGCCTCCCGGCACTGATAAAGCGCCACGCAGGTGCTCTGGGTGTGGAAGTTTCGATCATAATTATAGAAAATGTCCTAATAGACGTAATTAGAAAATTTTAATATTTAAATAGCTATGCGGTTAGTTATATGTGGTGCATAGAAATGAATTTGTCGGTTCCGTTTCTCGGATAGGGGTGATTCTCGCTTGGCAGGGAGACCTTCTACTCACCAGTATACTAATCCGCTTTGAATACATAGTGAGTCTGGTATTCAAACTCGCAGGATCAAACCCAGGTCTTAAATCATGATGTGTAGGCTCTTTTTCCATTCTATCAAGCAAGGCAACAGAAATTTTTTATTTTTGTTTCAGAAAGGTAAGCTGAGTCTTGTTAAGACAAGTTCTTGTATAATGAGAGAGTGGAAGCAGAAAAGAAGTGGTGAATAACTCTGGACACATACTGTTGGTATCACCAGCTAGGTACTGTGTACACAGTTAAGTGGACAGTGGTTATGCTTCCAAAGCAAAAGTCAATTTGATTCGTGTAAAATAGATGATCCTCCTACGTCAAGGCCCAGTACCCCTGAATCCATACGGCGGGAGCCGTTGCTTAGCAAGATTACGTACAACCTGTCTTTGCTTATTCTGACGGGAGTATATGTCCCGACAGAAACAAATGAAGATGCGGGTTGGGAACCCTGTGCCTTCCATCATCATCTGCCTTGGGGAAAAAGCTACACAAGACCCCCAACGAAGGCCTACTCGCCACCGAGAGTGAGACTGGACGTTATCGTCATCACCCCGACAAGCGACCGCCCTAGACGCAAACTGACTAAACGATTGGAAGTTACAAACAGTCGCATCCAGCCGAGGGGCGAGTCCAGATATCAGTGGCGATGCTCACATGACATAAACCGAAGCGTGAAAACTCAAACTCATTCATATATAAGTATACGTAGCCAGAGCCTAGCTCTCTAATCCCTCGGAGTACCATCCCGCAAACGAACGCATCTGCGACACTATGCAAAAATGCAGTCGCATCCTATGACGAAGTCGGACTCGTCCAGGATCCAATCATCTTAGGCAAGGGGTCGGAAGTTGAATATCGAGCTTAGAGATCACTCGATCGGGGTTATAAGACATTGAACTGGCGGTGGCGAAGCTATTCTTGATATTGTCTGATTTAAATGCCTCAATTCGCGCGAACGGATAGGCTTCGAGGAAGTCTAGCTTATCAATATGGTGGATTCCGACACGCATTTTCGATTCGACAAGCTGACCGTACGAGTGCTTTAAAACCGCAAAACAGCCAATATCAAGAGGCTGTAAAAGGTGAGACGAGTGCGAAGGCATACGAATTGCGATAATATGGCTTTTTTTTCGCAAATTTCGTCGAATTTCGGGGTTAAATGACTTCGTGGCCGTCGAGTATTAAAAGTCTATACTTCCCCTTCGTACGCGAAGAAGTAGACGGAATAAAGAGCTTTTCAAGCCACCGAAGACCAATTTCATCGGAAGTCCATCCATTTGGACTAACCTCGAAGCGCCAATCCTCCGGGAGGCCGTCGAACCAAGATTCGATATAGACTTTGCCCTTAAAGATCACGCACGGAGGAAGCGCCCACCCCGAAGCATTTATACACTCAATTGTAGTCACCCACGCGCGATTTCCGGGCTGTAAAAGTACTCGGCGACCGTAGTATTCCCTTCTCGTAATAACCTTCGCGGTCGCAATTAAGCCCATTGCAAAACCAGTCTCGTCGAAGTTATAGATATCATCGGGATCGATACCGTAGGAAAGGATCGTGTTTTGGACAAGAGAAAACCAATCTCTAATAGCCTTCGGGTCTTCGCATTGCGCACGCGCGAAATTGTACCCTTTTGAGAACCGAGATGATAGGATTGAATGCCTTTTCACGAATTTTGTAACCCAATTTTCGCCGACCGAAGTAACCGGGGTAGATCCACGCGACGCTAGTAAAATATTGGCCATTGCTCGTACAGCAGACGGCCGAGGGGCTGATCCACGAGAATCCATTGAGAGTATCCATTTTAGAAGCGTTTCTTCTTCAATTTCGGTCAATTTATGGCCATTAGCGCGAGTTTCGGAGCGATTTGTGAGGCCGTTAAGGCGGTTCCGTAAAGAAGAGAATGGTACTTCAAAATGACGTGATGCTTCGCGTATAGAGGTGATTTCTTGATTTTTAATAGCCTGAATAGCTAATAAGATCCTACCCTCCTGCTCTACTAAATTTCGAGAGGATTGAGTACGAATTGGTGGCATAGTGGGTGGTTGAAGAAGGAAGGTCTAATAAAATGACGCGTTTTCGCGTCGCTGATCCACTCGGTGGTGTGATCCACTCGGTGGTGTGATCCACTCGGTGGTGAAATACGTTACGTCATAATATTGAAACCTCAGGTCCAGCAAATCATGCAGTCCCTGCTTGGGTGTCAGTTAATATGGGTGTTAGGTAACAAGGACTAAGTGAATATTCAAGACAGACATAGGTCACTTATCCACTGGATGGTAAAGAATATTTTAGGCATAGATGTTGGTGCCCAAAAGGTCATGGGGAGCTCAACTAGCTGGTCGGTTTGCAATGTTAACCAACAATTTCTTCCGTGATTAGTCAGGGACTGGGAGTCAGACGGCCTGTACTCCACCTATGAATGCCACTTTGCCCCTCTTCAGTAACGTGTATCTTCTTAACCAAGAGGAAACTTTTTCTTAAGTATATTGCCCTATTCCTGCTTAGACTTGACCGTTGATTCACAAAATTATAATTCTAGGCCGCTGAGAAGTCGAGATCGAATCCTTACGTCCCTCCATACGCACCCGCCTTTGACAGAGACCCCGAATTTTCCCGATTAGGCCGAAACAGAGTGGCCTGCCCACCACACCCCTTCGCAGACTGTATAACGAGCTATTCTACGATAAATACTCTCAGACGTTGCTTTCCTGAAACGAACTACCGACGCCCGCGCCTAAGGAAACCTCTGGACCCCCAGGCTGATGAAGCCGTGCCTAATATGGCTGAAATCGAAGATTCTGGAATTCCAGTCGATGACATCTGGGAAGATCGAGAAAAACTGGTGCAAAAGGCAAATCTGATTGTATGAGCGATCTATTCCTATTCAATGCCCTCTTTCTGAATGTATGCAGGCTGGCGAAGACCTTATTTTGGACCAAAATTGGGACACAGTGAACGGCTTCGAGTCCGACCCTCACGTGCGCGCAGCCCTTCTACAAAACCAACCGCCCGGAGGGGTTGTGAGAGTCAACGGCGACCCGTCGAAATACACTTTAACAAGCCGGATAACTGGGACAGTTCTTGTTGCTGCCAAACCTGGAGAACGGCTCAGCTTTGTTGGGAATCCCTATGTCCTACGTTTCCGACGTCGCCAGCCATGATATTCCGGATGTATTCTATCAGCGCGTCCGCAAGCCTGTGAGACAGCTGCACTCTTGCACTCCACCCGATTTTGGAATCAATCTTGATGTCGATGGAAGGAAGGGCGCCGTACCATGGGTAAACTAGTTGTATGTATGGGCAGATGGATTGATAACCATTGAGCAAGCTGAGAATGCTTGCAAGCTGTTCTGAACTGGAAGATTCTGGATGATACTGTCGGAGGAAAGCCATGAGTTGCACAACTTGGAGATCGAAGACAGATTGTGGACGCTGGTCTGATAAGAGGGATATTTGTAACTCTGGTATGCCATCGATCTTCAGATTTACTGGTCCCTGAGACTGTGATCCTTCCTCTGCTTCCGTTAGACCAAATATCAGCCAAGAAATCAACTTTAGGCACTTACGTGCAGGTTGTATTTGGCTTTGATCAGTGCCATCAGCCGCAGGCTTTAAGAGGCGCGTACGTTTTCTGTTAGCGGACGCTGAATCTTTGTTAGCCCTTAGAGAGGAAATGAGGCAGGAAGACACATACTCCCATCATATGTTGGCGTTTGCTTCATTAATTCATTGATATTGTTTTCATTGCAAAATTTATTTGCTGCACATTTAAGACCATTCTTCGTGAGAATGCTCTTCCACCACTGCCGTAGTACCGGTAGAATTTCTTTTGATTCAAATGTTGAAAGTTTCGTGATAGACCAAGTCAACATGCATAGCAGAAGGACTTCGGCTCCCATTCTTATGTAGGCATCCTTGAGAAAATTACGAGCTCGAACTCTTCGATATTGTTGAGAAGTTGATAGAGACTCGCTCGTAGTATGAAATAGAGCACAGCACAGCCTGGTTGAATCGCGCTGTTCGTCGTTCAACTCGCACGCCTCCTCTTCATCGAACTGAGCCTCAGTTCGCGAGATTTCTGTTATGCAAACTTCCATGATTATTCCAGCAACCGTTCAGAGGGCTGCTTGCTGCGAGAAAGACACGAACGAAGAACCACAAATACTAGCATGTGAGGGAATGCGACCGCAGATAAATGCAAGAGAACACATGCAACTGCATGCGACCAAAGAAGAACGTATGAGGTCGCATGCGAAACGGCCCCCACGTTACATCAGACGAGATGGACACATCAGGTTCGCCAACTTGTTGCGTTTCTGATTTGGTGGATAAATTTTCCTGGACTGTACCACAATATTTCGCTGCCATGCCGAGGGAAGACGCCACAATGGCTTCTGGCGAGGCACCTTACCCCAGGCTTCCAGGATTTAAAATATCGGACATTGGTCTCCACTTTCGTGCGACAAATAAGCTGATGCATGTATTGCCAATCAATTCTCGGCGCTCCGTAGATGACTCTCAACTACCCGAGCGTCCCCGCCAAGGCGTTTCTGAAAAGACGGGGCCCGTGCACTAAAACATCATGCGAACGTATGCGAATAAGGGAGAATGCATGCGAAATAATGATTTTTATTTGCACGCACCGCAGGGCGAATCAAATTTCTCGCAGACGGAACCTCGAAAACCCTTGATAGGATCTGAGTTAAAATAGTGTAGAGAGTGGGCCGATGAGCCCTCTTAATGAGCAAACTTAGGAACCAGTGCAATCCACCATGTTCCAGCTATACTGCCGCGCATCACACTCGAAACCACAACCATGAATCCCATAGCCCAACTGTCTAGTGTGCAGGTCTATATCAAGAAAAGCCACAGAATGTAACGAACATATAAGAAGGAGCACTTCCTTGGGCTCTTGTCGACCTTTCCCTTCCATCATTGGCATCCATTGGACCATTTCATACCAGCTTCCCATACTGCACCGATATTTCTTAGTTGTTCAAATTGCTCAACATGGCATTGAAAACTTCTTCTCCCTGCCACCAAGGCTTGACGCCGCCCGATAGCCCAACGAAGGAGTCGACCATGCCTCCAGCTACCTTGGACGATCTAAAGCACCTCTTCAGTATATTTCTTGAAAAGGCGCTACTCGATCTTACCAACCAAGAGCCTCCAAACACGCCCATCTCCAAGGACCAGTCTCCAACAGGCCCCGACATGGTTCGACTGAAGCAGTTGCTGGTGAAACTCACCCGCGATGAACGTGCTTCAGTTGGAACCTTCGCGACAACTAATCCTGCTCAATCTGGCCTTGCCGACAATGAACAGGAAGAGGTTGTTGTTCAGGTGGCAGATGAAATTGATCTCAATCGTCCCATCTGTACTACTCCAGATGATTTCAAATCGTTTGAGAAATGGGCATCGGCATCCCGATTCAAGACGGTTGTGGAAACGTATGAGCCACCAACTCCCCTTCTCACCCCTTTCTGGCAACTAGTTGACGCCGATATAGCTGGGACAAAGAAGCGTGTAAATACAAGATCGGCGACCCGGTGGAGACCAGCAGTAGTCTGGATGAATACGCTGAATATGCATTTGTTGTCCGCGAACGAGTTGGTACGTAATGTCTTTGCGCAGGGGACCTAACCAATACTAATTGCATGATTAGAACGGAATTCTGAGGAGGTGACGCCCTACATTGACATCAAATCGGAAGGCCTACGTGACATCCTGCGTGTGGTGCTGCACGACATCAAAGCGATTAGCCTGATGGAGGACAAGCCATCGGTAATTGAGACAGAGTCTTATTTCCAACGACAACGCTGACGTGGATTTAGATCGAGCAAAACGTCCTTTTTCATTTCCTCTCAGAGCTTGACAGATGCACGGAGAACACGGACAACAGTTCCGACCACGAATCGGCGCAGGCGGAGCTCCGCCTGCTCATCGACCACCTCAAGCAAGCATATGCAGCTATCTCGCAGCGTCTCTCGGCAATGTTGCAGCACGGTCATATCACTTTTGACCTTCTTTGGGCGCTTTTCAAGCCCGGTTGTCATGTTTATACCACGTGCTTTGGTACAAAAGAGCCGCGATGTGTCATATTCGACACGGGGGAAGACATAACCCAAAATGACGAGACGTGGTGGAATCTCGAATGCCGATTCCTTGATTATGACGGAGTCAAGTTCGGCGAGGCCGGAATCTTTCTGCGTGTGCCAAAGTTCCGGGGGTCAAAGCCGATCGAAACCCTTGAGGCCTTCCCTCTCTGCCACCATCCAAGGCACCAACAAGTTTGGAAAGACTTGGTCGAGAGAGGCCAAAAGTTTCGGGATTTGGCCGGCTCGCACATTCGGCACTGTAAAGGCAGTGCCTTTTTCATGAACAAGGGCAAAGCTATCAAAGTCAAGGTCAACGGTCGAGTCGCAGTAGACGCCGCATTTTTCCATGAAATGCAGCCAAACTACTCCCGACCGTCTCTCCGCGACATAGGGGTGAAAGAAAAAGACGGCATTGCCGTCTTTGATGTAGGAGCAATTTTCATGGAGGACCGTGAGCGAGAAAAGGAGAGAATGCGAGGGGACGGTGTGGGAGCGCAAACGCTGAGCGAAGCCGATTTGTTAATCGCCTGTCCAACGGTTTTTTGTTTCAGCTTCAAGGAGAAAATGTTCTGTATGTGACACGATTGATAACGTTTGGGGACTGGCTAATGTGATTCCAGTGGAGTGCGCAGTTAGTGCTCTTAGGGACGTGATCTGGTCACCTGAATCGTTTGACTGCCTGCAAATTCCGCCAGAGAACAAGACACTCCTCTTATCAATGGCAAAAACCCGCTTGGGTCTGATACCGACAGTACCCTTTGACGACGTAATTGATGGAAAAGGTCAAGGACTCACCATCCTTCTGGAGTATGTCGGCAAATTGTTTATGTGCTATCCGTCCTAACCCGTGCTAGTGGCCCACCCGGTGTCGGAAAGACATTCACGGTTGAAGCAACCTCGGAATATTTCAGGCGGCCTCTCTATTCGGTACGTGCCAGCCGTGGCGCTGATTGTGGCCTCATTGACTTTCCCAGATATCCGCAGGCGAGCTCGTTGTCGACCACGGAGATTCCAATGCGCTTGAGCAACAACTTGAAACTGTATTCAAGATCGCTAAACACTTCAAAGCCGTGCTCCTCTTGGATGAGGCAGATGCGTTCATGGAGCAGCGGACATCGTACCACGACACTCACAACCGCCTGGTGACCGTGTTTCTCCGAAAACTGGAATATTATCGAGGGATCCTATTCCTGACTTCGAATCGGGGTATTCAGTTTGATGATGCAATCCTTAGTCGGATCCATTTAATCATCAAGTATAAAGACTTGAGCAGAGAATTTCGCAGGAGTCTCTGGTCAACCTTTCTGACCAGGGCACGTACAGTCCAAGGACCTGCCATGATCGAGGAGCACGACCTCCGACGACTGGAGTCTTTAGATCTCAATGGACGAGAGGTGGGTTCCAGAGCGCTGCTGTGTACTTCCCGCTTGATGACTAACATGGATTAGATCAAAAACATCGCAGCAATTGCACATGCTCTCGCCGAGGCGAATGCCAGCCAAGTGAGCTATCAATACCTGGAGTTAGCCGCGGAATCGAATCAGAAATTTTCGAAGGAGTTTGGCCAGGAGAGGCCTGTGGATGGAATGTATGTCTAGCGGCGTACCTGGGAAAACCTTGTGGATAATCCCGTTCCTCGTTGTTGTTGGGTGATTCGGCTTTTACTGCAGTATTTTCCTCACCTCCAAGTCCGTAATGTCAGTTTTGAAGCTATATAGTTGAATCCACGTTTTCATATGATTCATGATATCACACGAAAGTCGAGTCCGAGAGCCAGAATTGGATGATCCATTCGTGACTGTCGATGCAAGTCGAATTGTATATCTTCTGAGTCCATATAGGTGTGTTGGAAAAATAGGCATCGGCAATGCTAATCAGGTAGAAATTACGACCGATCGGTCCATGCGGATGCGGGCCGGAGATGCTTCATGAATCATGATCACACGTAATTGAATTACTAATCCAATAAAATGAGCACACGTCCTCACGTTACACGAAGACGTTTCGAGTCAACTATCTCTGGTTGACCTAGTCGTCGTTTTATGGCTCGTGGCCGCTGCAAAGTCGGTCGACATTTTAATCTGGAGCGGTGAAAGTCGATGATTAACGCCCGCCCAAGCTCTTCATTCCATAGGACATTATCACGCCGAAGGTCTTCGTGGATGATTCCCAAAGCTTTGATTTCTCTTTTCGACTTGTGAATCTCCTGGAGAAGCCCAGGCGTGAAGTCCATTGATGCTGTACTTTCGCCTCCCCAGCCCATCACGAGCATATGGCGAATCTCTCCAGCCCCGTGAAGGAAATAAATCTTCGCCAAGTCGATCGTACCTAGGAAAACAGGCACAGCAGACCCTTGGGCCTTCCGCAGAATTCTGTATACTTCCGCTTCGCGGGATACTTCCTTCCACAGGGTGGACGTGGTTCCTTTCCCGATGACGGTGTAGCCATATACGACACAAGTGAGTTTGAACGGCGCACCGTACGCCCCGCAGCCTCCAAGGGGTATACATCGGTCAATGTTTTCGTCCAATTGTGCTTTGAGTAGACGGACCAAGTCTTCCGAAGTAATCGGATGCTGCAGATCATCTATGCTTTGACGATGGAGCATTACATTTGGACAACAGTCGTCTAGAAGACCGCCAGACTGCAACCCGAGTAAACATCGCTGGGTGCAAAATTGCGCATCGCAGTGTCCAGAGAATCTCGAATGGCCATACCTTGGATGCAGGCCATGGTGCAGTATGGTTGTATAGTGTCCTTGCAAGACCGGCCTGATTGCTTCTCTCGCGCCCTCCGGGTGATTGATGTTTGTTGCGTGTGACTGCTGTGGTGGACGTCATAGTGGACAGAGAGCCTGTGGGCTACAAGCATCTGGAAAGGGCGGCGGAACCGAGTGAGAAACTCTCGGAGAAGTTCGGTGGAGGGAGTCAAGTTGAGGGAGGTGTGTCTAAGGCCGACGAGTTAGTCTTTCAGGTTTTCATTCAAACATAGTTGGATATACGACAATCTTACAGGAATGATTCGTAATCTTGCAGTATGCGATCGCTAACCAAAGCAGTAATCTTAAGCAACCTCTTTCACTGAACGCGTAAACGTTTTACATCTCCCGACTCTGTCCGATATAGTGGTCTCTTCGCTGTTCGTGATCGCTTTGAAGTTGGCCGACATTTCAATGAAAAGCGATGAAAGTCGATAATCAACGCCCGTTCAAGCTCTTTATTCCACAGGACATTATCGCGCCGAAGGTCACCGTGGATGATTCCCAAAGCTCTTATTTCCTTGTTCGATTTGTGAATGTCCCGCAGAAGCTCAGGCGTTAGCTCCATCGATGCCGTGCTTTCTCCCCCCAGCCCATCACGAGCATATGGTGAATCTCTCCAGCCCCGTGAAGAAAATAAATTTTCGCCAAGTCGATCGTACCTAGGAAAACAGGCACAGCAGACCCTTGGGCCTTCCGCAGAATTCTGTATACTTCCGCTTCGCGGGATACTTCCTTCCACAGGGTGGACGTGGTTCCTTTTCCGATGACAGTGTAGCCGTATACGGCACAAGTAAGTTTGAATGGCGCACCGTACGCCCCGCAACCTCCAAGGGGTGTACATCGGTCAATGTTTTCGTCCAATTGTGCTTTGAGTAGACGGACCAAGTCTTCCGAAGTAATCGGATGCTGCAGATCATCTATGCTTTGACGATGGAGCATTACATTTGGACAACAGTCGTCTAGAAGACCGCCAGACTGCAACCCGAGTAAGCATCGCTGGGTGCAAAATTGTGCATCGCGGTGGCGGGACTGGCTGTCTGGGCCTTTATCATCGATTGTGTCTCTTTGTCGAGCCACGCGTTGGGCAGATGGAGAAGACGGAACTTGACTGAAGGCTCGTTTGCGGCGTGTTGCTGGATTCGAATCGGGGTCTGGTGATTGTGACGACTGTGAGCGATGCCTCACATCGGATGGGGCACAGCTAACTCGAGATCTAGTAGACACTTGACGAGCTGTTGATTCAGGGGAATCTGGCGGAGAGGACGAGGGTTCATAAGTCGAACCAGAATCTGGGCTTGGAAATTCTAGGGCGGTACTGTCGGAGTTGAGAGGAAGTTGCCTGAGTTCATCTTCGGGAATGTGAGAGCGAGTATGATCAAAACTGGTCTTCCATATAGGAATGTCTGGCCGTACGGAATTCCTCCACTCTTGACCTCGCACAGGCGAGTGGAATGCCATCAGACACAAACACAGTGTTCTTGCAACAGAAGTATTTCCAAAGGTAGCTTCTATTTCCGTATTCACTTCGCTGTTAGGATCACATAGAAAGTAGTAGAGCGTGCCAGGATCGTCCTGTGGAACACGGAGGAGAACTCGAGCAATCCCGTTGGTCACGTAGGAGAATTCGAGCCCTTCTTGAACCATCACATGATACTCTTGAACAATGGCAGAGCAGACAAGGCGCTCTGCATTGTACCGCAACTTCGCGTCCTTGTCCGTGGGTATTTTATTTGACTTGACCATCTCCTTCCACAAGTCCATTGGCCGAAGCCCTGTCCGAAGGGTTGCGACGGGAAGCTTGTGAGGTGGCTTATACTCGACGGTCGTGAGGAGAGTGGTGGTACGCCCATCGACACGGTGGATACAGAATTGATCAGGCCTTGGATGGTGTGAACCTGATGGTTGGCTTGCATCTGCTTCAATGGCACCGTAATTGTTCAAGGAATTTGTATGATTGCTGAACTGAATGCCATCGCCTAGGCCAAACTCTTCGCGAGCAGCGGGTATCTTGCACAATTCTGTTATGATATCATTGATGTGCTCTTCCACGGCGAACCGCTCATAAGCCTCGAGTTCTTGCTCGCTGCTGATGGGATTGCGGTTTAGGCGCCGGCCTAACCCTTCTAGCTCATGTGAAGATGTAAACAGACGCGGCCCCTCTCCTGGCGTTGGCTGGAGATAGCTGTGGACGGACCTGTAAAGCTCCGACAGTTGCACTGGACAGTCGGCCCAACGTTCCAGCCGTTTCGGACAGTATTTCCCGGTAGGCAGAGGTATTTTTCCGCTGGTCGAACGAGATGGTGTCTCGACTCTCAGCGGTCGGGAGAGCGAGGTGTGAGAAAGGCGCATTAATTCCATGAAAGTCGTCGGTCGGGTGCGCTCCTTCTCTCGTCTTCCTTCATCTTCTGCCTGCTTCCTTCTCTCTTCTTCCTGCTTGCGTCTCTCTTTCTCTCGTCTTCCTTCATCTTCAGCCTGCTTGAGCCTCTGTTCTGCCTGCAGAAAGAGAGCCTTGTAATCTGGCGAGTTGTTGTTGGCCATCGGTCTGTCAGAGGGAGGAGTACCTTGAGACAACCGCGACTGGTCTCGATTGGTGGGTACCTTATCCAGGAGAGAAGGCTGATGTCAGCTGATCGCGGTTTCCGGTGGAAGTATTTCCCCGAGAAATGACGCAAGGTTTCCGCTGGGTGAGTGAGTTAATTTTAGCATCTCGAGTGTGACATAATATCCCTTCGTCAACAAGACGCCACAGCACTCACCAAAATTGGATTTTCTCAGGCTTCAAAGAGACTACCCTAGGGGCAGAGTCGGTTCATTGAGTCGGTCGCCTCGCACTGAGTCGTGAGGGTCGCATCTGTCTCAACTCGGATCGCTTGAGAGACTTGAGACAGAGATGTGGCAGCGATCGAAAGGGCAAACAGAGTGTGGGGCTGGGGTCGCCATCGGCCTCTCCATGGCGGCGCTCGGCCGCTTCTCGAAACCTTCGTTGTTCTCCAAAGCTGACATCGTAAATCGGTGATTGGTTGCTCCATTCCTAGTTGAAAGAAGTATTCAGTGGATAGTCGAATGATGCAAATTGAAGTCAACATAGTAGTGAGCCCGCTAGCGAGGGGAATGGACTGTCGCGGAGGGATCCAGCTTACTCTTTGACTCCAGAGTGGATTCATAGACAACCTCTGGCCACAATTGGTTTAGTCACCGCTTCCAAAACATACGCCGATTCGACGGTACCTAATGTGCCTCGTCAGTACATGGATAAATTCTGTCCATCTTCAAAATCCTCGGCAAGTACAGTCACCATAGCGAGATCACTATCTCAATTTCATCACTCGCGAGGCCCACATTCCGTTCTCCTATAGAAGCTTATGTTGTGTCATTTCGCTGTGAGGAAGGTGCATAATAAAGCCAGTAGTCAGCGAAGTTCTTTGAAAGAGAGAATACGCTTACCTCTATCGCTGTCCGTCTGTTTGACGAAACACGATTAGATTTGCTCTAGTCTTTGCAGTTAGACATCATGCAATCAGTCCAAGGGACCTCGTGGAAAATAAAATAATGAACCTGACCTATCTGGGTAACTTAGTTGAGTCCCTTTTATGGAATAGGATCTGTGCACGAGGCAAATTGAAGTGCCATCGCTCACAGAACCCATGGCCAGAGGGGTGAATGTAGATCTCTGACACGGTATTTATAGATGCGAAGCATTCTTTATCATGGTAGTCTTTGACTGTATCCTCAGTTTTGAACAGGTTAATGGAAAATTGGACGGGTACTGTAGAATGGAGCATCCCCGCAGAAAAACCAAGGAGGCCGAGGAGATATTTCACTCGCACCTAAAACAACCTTCCTTACCCTCAATTAAAGCTGGTGTTAGGTGTCCCATGGATTATACCCACTGCTTTGCATGCCTCATATTTTAATATTTTTGCCCATATTCTTCTTCGCCCGATTCTCATGAAAACGATCCTTTAGTCAGCAACAACTAAAACACCAATTAGTTACCTCAGTTCCCTCAGACCACAGCCAATGATGAGGCCGAATTCTGCCGAATTCTGCCACGCTAACCCGATGGGTTGCTTCATCAGCCTGTGTTCTCCCAAAAAGCTGTGTCAGCTCGCTGAAAACAGCAGGCGGTGGATTGCATAACCAATTACCCACTATTTACACCGCACTTTTTTGGCATTGTAGAAATTTCAGCACAGGTACATAGTTTTCTGAACGGAGGTATGTCTTATCTTGTAGATCAACCCATCTCCTCATCTTTCCCACGATCTGTCGGCCTCAAAAAATTTGAGTTAACTAGCATCAATCATAGGCCTGGAAATTTCCCCAATCTATTGGCTATTGTTCCACCGTCGACTATCGTTCACTAATACATAATTAAAGCCACAGGAAGGTATCTTAGCTGTAACAGATCATGTGCCTCATTTTTTGACATGCCAACTTCAACGCTCAGCTTCGCGCAACCGGTTGGAGCCGGTCGTTTTCTGAAATAGTAGTGTTCGAGTGGGCCTGCGTTAGCGGCGATGTTCCCTCCACCAGAGCAGTTCATATAGGACTGGCTGACAAGGTAACCCGCACAGTCGCGTTGTTCAATATCAAATCCTCGCATTCTTGAGGGCACATTAGTCCCATTTTGGTGCAATTCCGAATCTCCACTGGGCCCCACTGATCTCCGCCAATAAGGCTGAGTGACGTCATTGCTCAGGCTCTTTCCCCAACATACGTTGATATTCCAACGTGCTTTAGAAATGGGTTGGGTAGGAAAGTGAAGCTCAAATTAGCATCGCTCTGAATAGACAGCACATACTAACTGTCTGTACCTCGTAGCAGTTGTTCGTACCAAACTGGGGCTCAGGGGACCGCAGGAAAAGGAGACATGGAAACCTTGAACCCTCAAATGTTTATTGGGAACCACCATCAATCAATACCAATCCCAGAGACACTCCACTCGCTCCCCGGAGGGCATGTTGCTGTCCTGGCGGGCGACGAGCTCCCACCTCCACGTGGTGCCCGCTGGGAACTCTCAGAGCAACAGTTTGGCTGTCTCCGAGTGCCAGGAGGAGCTCAACAACGCGATCTTCCCCCTTTTCACGACACGCTGACGCGCCGAAAGCCGAGTCTCCGAACCTCACGAAACACCCAACATCACAGAACCAGTACCAAAGAGGAAGTCGTGCCCCCTCACACGTACGCCCCTACGACGGAGAATGGACTTTGTCACTCCATTTATCCCGCCCGACAATTGTTTACGGTGCCGGATCTCGAAGATTACGCGATGCGGAAGCGAAGCGGAAGGCCGGATATGATCAACACAACGCAGTCAGAACAATCACAAGAACCTAGGCCCAAGAACGACGAACACACTCTGCTCTGATGCTGCAACGCGTCAAAATCAACCTCCACCCTCACGAAACACCAATATACAGAACCAGGACCTGAGAGGAAGTCGTGCCCCCTCACACGTCCGCCCCCACGATGGAGAACGGAACTTGTCACCCGTTCGTCCTGCCCGACAACGGTTTACGGCTTGGACATTGACGACGACACGCTGGGCTCGGGGCAGAGCCGGTTATATGGTTCATGGGCTCAACATATGGACGACGCAATCACAACGAAGCCAACAACATTAACACCCAAAAAACACTATCAAAAACACCACCAACAGCTCAGAACGTCAATCCGATCCTTACAATATTTTGCAACTTCACAGTTGATTTGCGTCCCAACAGATGTTCATGCCAAGAGACGCGTCCCAGACATGTCCTTCTGTCACGAAACATCTGCGTGACCACAAATCAACACGGACCTAGAACCCATCAACGAGCAAGACACAAACACTGCCACTGTCTCACACACACCGTAACATCGGCACTCAAAGTAGCGTGCCTCCACACATACAGAACGAACCACCACAGTCTCAACAGGAGGGGCCCTACCGGCAGCCCACCCACGGTGCTCAATTTATCGCAGACGAGTGATTTTGTCAAACAGAAGCAAAGGAGGGCCAGGAAAGGTCTAACAAGTCAAAGATACAGAACAACCATTATAACTATGATTAACGTGTAACTGCCGGAAGCAGGTGAGAGAGGTCACTACGGTTGAGCGAACTCGTTTTCGAATGCAGAAAGCAGCAATTCATGTATTGTTAGTTGAACGCGCTGCATAGCTGCTAATTGGGCGGCTGGGACAGTCTATGAATAAATCAATCAATCAATCAATCAATCTGTTGGTATCACCAGCTAGGTGCTGTGTACACAGTTAAGTGGACAGTGGTTATACTTCCAAAGCAAAAGTCAATTTGATTCATGTAAAAATAGATGTGTGTTCCAAGTCAGGTCAGGTCCCGACCCAAGATACCCCTTAATCCCATGCACGGACACTCGGCGGTCACAACACCGGAGCCGCAGCTCCGCGCAAGAATGCGTACAGCAAGAAAGGGATGTTATATCCCGACACAATCAATCTTCAAAACCCTTCCTAGGAGTAACTGTGCCCATCCCGGAACCACAATTTGTGTAGGAATCTAATCAAGCTTCAGTTCGGTGGAAAACCTAAGATTGTCCGCATTAGAGTAATCCCAGAGGTATTCCACTCTGTCCCCAGACGCAGAAAACTGACGAAGATCCAGGGAACAGCCTCATCGGCTCCAGGAACGTAATAGCCAGCCCTGTGAGCGTTGTTGCTATAATACACGTGGATTTGTCCAAGTCAACACATAGCTTAGGACGTCGGTGGCAAGCCTTGGCTTGGTGGTGGATCCAGTCGGCTTATGTCAGCTAATCCCGGATCCCGGCTGGGGTATTTTTCCGAAAAATGATGTGTGTTTGCATTTGCCACTCATCTAAGACCTGTAGCATATTCGTCTTTCGGCTCGCGATTCGCCATCAATTCGTCTTCGTCGGCTTTCTTGCCCACACACAGCGATTAAGTTTGTTAGCATATGGCGCAGCCCGAGAAGAGACAAACCAAACCCAGATTGGAAGTACGTTTTATATAATCAACTTGAGACTGTCCGCTTCAACCAAACGCAGATTCAACTAACATTGATGCCTAAGTTACTATATCATATAATTCAATAGAAGTCGTCACAGAAGGATCAGTCAGTTAACCGTTCTGTTGCCCTGAAAATGCATGTGTTAAACCTGTAAATTCAACCTTGGAAAAGGGCTCTTACCACATATCGACAGTCGACACGATCTCCACTTATTCCACTTATCGAGAGATTATATCCCAAGTCAACCATTTGAGTGAGTAGCTCAGTTTGGTTGTCTCTCCCTCCATCGGTTTGATTAGGAGAAAGGTATGTTTCCCCTTCCTTGGTCACAATCTCATAACCATACTGCTGGAGTAGGCCACTTTCCCTTATTTTCTGAGGGTTGTTTTCAACACGAATTGTTGTGGTTGATGTGGACATCCTGAGAGAATGACGAATGAAAAACTTCTCTTCGACTTTACACCACTGCAATATGTTGCAAGATGGGAGAGTGGCAACGCGGGGCAGAATGTTAGCTCAATTGCGAGCTGAACACGGGTGGTTGGGACTGCCTTAAATAATGTGTCGTACAGAGGATTTCAGAAGCAGAGTCCCCACCAGACCCACACGCTTTTTTTCCCAATACCCCACCATAATTGCACTAAGCTTAATTGGCTAGAAAAATTTCCCTCACAGGGTGGGGGTAAGTGAAGCGGTGTGATTGGCTTTTGGAGACTCTAAAACTCGACGATCTAGACTAGAACTGCAGTAGGAACCGGGTATGTGTATACTGTAATCTGGGCTTTGACCCAGTGCTTTTAAAGCCAGGATTGTTCATTTACATGCGAGGGCTTGCGAAAACGATCTGCCGCTGTGGGGTATTTTGTTGGTTGCTAGGGCTTGGTCTTGTCAGCTCCGCGCCTATCCAGGTTTTACTGTAGCCTCTTCCCCGCACGCTCCCGTTCTGCCACCGCCTCGCACGTTACTTGCCATTGTCTAATCATTCCACCAACTCCGTAGGCAATTCTCGGTCATCCCTGTTGAGTATCGCGGTGGTCAAAGCTTGTGACAGGACTAGCGATGGACATTTAAATAGACGGGGTTCCCACTTTTGAGAGTAACCTCAATAAGAACACTACAACTACCTATCTCAACAGGTTATGAGCCCGGATGGCTTTACCTTCGGGCACGCAGGCATTTCAACACAAAAATCCTTTCCCTGCCATTACAGCTAAGCTTCTCTATCAGAAACTAACTTCATGAACTTCAGAAACTGACCATATATTCTCAGTAACTTGATGAACAATATGAAGTTCTATTGCTCAAAACCCTCTCGAAGCAATAACCTGGATGAACTTCCATTCACTGAAGACTTACAGATAGCATGCCATCATTGCTACTATTACACTGTCACACTGGCACGGAGTATCGCAGGGTTGCCCCCATAGCCAAGACATGTCACCGTTTGCAGCAAGCCTCGGGAGTTTCTCCGTCAAATGGCCATAGACAGTATGCCATTATTGCTACGGTTACACTATGAAACTGGCACGAGAGACACCAGCCACAAGGCCATTTCGGAAGAAAAATGCGGAAAACACTACAAAAGAGACACTCTTGGACGGACGAGGAGCTGAACATCCTCTCATACCTCCGATACACTCGCCATTGGCGCTTCAAGAAAATCCAAACGTCCTACTTCCCATCACTTTCTCCGAACGCACTCTTGGGAGCCTACTGGCGCCTGTCCACCGAAGACCGCATACGCCGAGCATCGAGGATCACCACCTCAATCATCGCTCCTCGCAACACTGGAGAAAACCTCTCAGGTTCCCCCCGAGCTCAACCCACATGTTCCAGTATCGCACAGGGGACAAGTCGCTATCGCACTCTTGCTCAGTCAGAAAACAACATTGAGACTTTGGCCTTCACCCCACCAAGCCCTGCGGGTGGAGGGGATCCATTCATTTCCGACAACAGCAATTCGAGTCGTTACAAACTCAGGCCAAACAGACCCTCAATCTTCCCTCCAAGGAAGCCGGGATATCTTGTTGACCGACGCCGTTTCCCCCACTTCTTTAGATCGTACAAGTACTCTCTCAATCTACAAGGAGTCCCGGACAGCGACTATACTCCTCCATCTCGGATGCCTACGCCAAGTTCATCAGATCGAAGCGTTTCCATCGTCTCAAGTCTTCCCAGTGCCGCGTCAAGCCTTGAACTCTTTGGCTTGGAGGTGCGCTCGCCTCAGTCATCAAATAGTGAATCGGGTACCTCTGATCGGCCCAACGACATATCTAGCCCTGAATTCTTCAGCTCCGAGGAGCATCCTTTGCCGACATGACTGAAATCACAAAGTTTGAGCAATTCGGAATCAATACGTTCTATAACGGAATCCCAACATTAGATAATGCCAGCGACTGGTTTCGGTGGAATCAGAAGGTCAATGAGTTCATTCGGATATCTGCGGTTGCCGACGATGGAGCGACTCCACCGATAGAAGAGGAAGAAGCACGGCAATGGATTCACCGCCAAAATTTCTATTCTGCGATGATCACGGCAAAGCTGACACACAATGCGGCGCAAAGAATCAATGCCTTTGAGATTCCTCGAGTCCACGTACTGCTTAAGGCAGTCAAGGACAACTTCAAACCAGAAGGCTCAGGCACTGTGGGAGCACTCAAGCCCTCGGAGCAGAGATCAGGAAGATCCATGCTGAAAAACTCCTCCTTGACCCTGATTGCGTAACCTCCGAAATTGAGCGAACATTTTTCTTCGTGCATGCACTCGGTCCGGAGTACGAGAGCTTCCGCGATCATATCTTCCGACAAATGGACCTTGTCAATGAAAGAGACGCAAATGGGAACGTCACGAAAGCGGCGCCCACGTTTGACTATATCGAGAATAAGGCAATTGAGGAAGAGCATAGGAAGGGGCAATTGGGTAAACAAGCAATGGAGACGCAAGCACTTCCTGCTCTTGCTCTAGTCCGTGGGCCAGGTGACAAGAAACTCATCCCGTCGTCGGACGGAACTACTTGTCGAATCGAGATCGATAACGTCCCATATTGCTCCTTCTGCCGAAAACCTTATCACGTTGACTCCGAATGTTTCACCAAGAATCCGAAACTGAAACAGAAAGACGGAGATGGACCGAAGCCAAAGCCAGGCAGGATGCATACGGGCACACGCAAACAGTTGAAGAAGCGGCCTTCGACGGATGACGAGGATGACGATGCGGGTGGTCCAAAGGATCCGAAGAAACCAACTTTCATGGCGACGAGAGCCTCCGAGAAAGATGTCAACGAAGCATTTGGAAACGATATCGAGGGCTATTTCGCCCTGTCCGACCATATTCCCATAATGATGGCGATAAAAACCCTCTCTATTCGCGACGCGTGGATCGTGGATAGTGGATGCGCTCAGCACGTCTGCAATAGTGCCTCGAGGTTTGTCCAAATGGCCAAGTACCATGGCCCCTCACTAAGAGGCGTTGACACCTCAACGGCTCCCTCCGGAGTGGGAACAGTGAATATCCTTTGCAATGTACGCGGCAGAAAGAAATGGCTTGTGCTTGATAACGTCCTCTATGTTCCATCTGCACACGCCAATCTCATATCGGTGCTCCAGCTTCTCAAACGAGGAGCAAAGGTCGAATTCTCAAGCTGGAGTGCTATAATTCGCAACAAGTCAAACGGAAAGAATCTATATACTGCCAACGAATATCATGGAGTCTACGCACTCGATCTGTGGACAAGTCTGACTTTTCCCTCTTACCATGTTAGCCCGCAAATGTCTCTGTGGCACAATCGGCTTGCTCATATGAGTGATGCAAATCTTCGGCGACTCAAAAAGCAGGCTCACGGTGTTCGGGACATGGAGCCACGTCATCCATGCAATTCGTGTCTGCAGGGGCGAATGATCGAAAAACCCCACCGCAGATCAGGAAATAGCAGGAGAGGCGAAGACGCAATGGAGCTCCTCCATATTGACGTTGCAGGGCCATTTGACGAGGGCCTTGACGGCAGTCGTTACTGGCTCACCATCGTTGACGACTTCACGGGCTGGATCGAGATTATCCCTATACCACGAAGACAAGAGTTCGTCATAGAATCACTACGGTTCTTCCTCGACCACAATGAGCGCCCCGAACGAAAATGCAGGCGAATACGTCTCGACAGAATATCTGAACAAGTGGGAGACGAGATGAAGTTCATGTTGTTCTCGCGCGCAATTCAAGCTGAGGTGACAGGAGTGGATCAACACCAGCAGAATGGGGTTGCTGAAAGAGCCCACAAGACAATTTATGATCGGGTTAGGCCTACCTTAGCACATGCGAGGTTGCCGTCTACATTCTGGCCGGAAATTGCTCGAACCGCAGCGTTCCTCTCCAACCGGTCGCCGTCATCGAAGCTCAACATGACTCCGTACCAAGCGTGGTATGGCGACAAGCCTGACCTATCACGACTCAGAGTGATCGGATCCAAAGGGGAATACTTGATCCCGCCAAAGCAAAGAAAGAAGCTTACGGATCCGCGAACAAGGCCATGCATTTTGCTAGGCTATGAAGGAAATACCAACTACCGTATCCTCCTGGAAGACGGAAGAATCGTTGGGACTCCAAACGCCGAATTTCACGAAGTCCTTACAGCTCCCTCCACACAGACTATAGAAGATGTGGGAGCCAGACAAGACGGCTTACCTGAGGCAACGGCTGCTGCCGCAGGGGGGAGTGAGACGGTGGGACTAATAAATCAACCGTCGGTAGGCATCCGGCAAGCATCCGTGCCTGCTTCGGGGCGCCAATTGTCAATGGCACCATCGGAGCGGGCCCTACCTAAGCCGAGAAACGATATCTCGCACATACTGCCTCGGAGTAACGATAACTCGCGAGTGCTTACCCAGCCGAGTAACGATAACTCGCAAACCCCAGCGTCGTCTAAATCGAGTAACGAAGACTCGCAGCCAGCTGTTGCTGTACAGGGAGATAGGACCTTGTCGTCCATACGGAGTGACGATGCCCTCGGACCTCTATCACCTGCTTATCAGGATTCTGTCCTTAGGATTGACTCACCACCCGGTGGCGACCAGCAACAAGACGACGCTCAACAAGGGCTAAGTTCAGGAGAATGGCAACGATATCCAGAACTCCAACTTGAACTTGACAACCCAGTTCATGAAGTGCAACAAGGAGCACTAGATCATCACCCTGAAATGAAGATTCGTGCTCCACAAGTCACATTAGACATGTCTGATGAGAGCGAAGAAGAGCTTGCACTAATGAATATACCCGAAGAGAACATCATCCCAACACTCTTAACGGTAGCTGCAGAGGAAACAGAACCCTTTGAGCCAAAGAACCTGCATCAAGCGAAGAACGACACAAGCTGGCTCGAATGGAAAAGGGCAATGCTTGAAGAAGTGAACTCACTCAAGCAAAACAAAACGTGGGAGGTGGTTGATCCCCCCAAAGACCGGCGAGTTCTCAGTGGAAAATGGGTCTTCAAACTCAAACGAGGACCTCACGGCGAAGTACTCCGCCATAAGAGCAGATGGGTGGTGAGAGGCTTCACACAAGAAGACGGTATTGACTATGATGAAACCTTTGCCTCGGTTGTCAAGCCAATGAGCTACAAAGCCCTCTTCGCAATCGGAGCGGCCCTGGACTTCGAGATCGAGCAAATGGATGTCAAAACCGCATTCTTGTACGGACATATAGACCACGAGATCTACGTCGAACAGCCCCATCACATGACGGATGGCACCCCAAGGGTCTGCAAGCTTCGAAAAGCCCTCTATGGATTAAAGCAGGCTCCTCGCATCTGGTACCAGACCCTCACGAACTTCCTGCGCAATCTTGGCTTCGAGCCAATCACCGCCGATCTTGGTATCTTCGTTCGGAGCAATATGTACATCGCGGTGTATGTTGATGATCTCCTGATCGTGGGTCCGAGTATCGCAGAGATCAAGAAGATCAAGCGGAGCCTAAGGAACCGTTTTCAGATGACAGATCTGGGCCCATGCAGCTACTACCTTGGGATATCCATCCAGCGAGACCGCCAAAACAGGAAACTGTCCCTCAGTCAAGAAGCATACATTGACAAGGTTGCTCATCAATTTGATATTGGCAACTGCGCTCCCATCGGCACGCCGATAGAAACCTCACCGCTTCCCGAGAACAGTCCAGAGTACACGTGCCCTCCAGATCAGAGGACCTCTTACCAACGCATGGTCGGATCTCTGATGTACATTATGCTTGGAGCCAGGGGGGACATCGCGTACGCAGTCTCTGTGGCGAGTAGGTCTCTGGCAAATCCTGGGCCCCAACACATAAAACTCGCTCAACGCATCCTGCGGTACCTCAAAGGAACCAAGAGCCTCAGACTCGCGTACAAGGGTCAGCCTCAGAAACTGAAAGGCTTCACAGATGCAGATTGGGGAGGATGTCGTGACACGAGACGATCAACAGCTGGGTATCTCTTCAACATTGGAAGTGGAGCAATCAGTTGGCAATCGAAAGGCCAGGGCGTCGTTGCCCTCTTAACCCGTGAAGCCGAGTTTCTAGGGCAGACACAAGCCACCAAAGAAGCAGTCTGGCTGAGACGACTTCTCAATGAATTGAATATGAACCAAGGAACAACCGCCACGATCATCTGCGGTGATAACCAAGGTGCTATCGCTCTCTCCTCGAACCCACAATACCACTCTCGTACATGTACAAAACATATGGAAATCCAACGCAAGTGGCAGGGAGAGGTCCAAGACAACGGAACAGTGAAGCTCAAATATATCCCAACCACAGAACAAATTGCTGATGGGTTCACCAAACCCCTTGCTCGGGAAAGATTTGAGTGGTTTCGGAAAGGGCTTGGCGTTGAGTGATTGCTACACCTTATTTGTATTGAACAAGACTAAGGCGCAGGGTACCCTTTCCTTCCTTTCTTCTCAAATGAAGTTTTTTGAAGGTTTTAATGGGACCCGTCACAATCGCGATTACATAGTCAGTGACACCATTGGTGATGGTGGCCATCGAGTGGGAGTGTTGAGTATCGCGGTGGTCAAAGCTTATGGCAGGACTAGCGATGGACATTTAAATAGACGGGGTTCCCACTTTTGATAGTAACCTCAAAAAAGAACACTTCAACTACCTATTTCAACAATTTCTTTTGGAGCCCTATTGTTCCCTGCCTCTATCATCTGTTTGCGTTTTCCATGGAAACTTTGCTGCTATGAGTTGCATGGAGTGTGGCACTGCTTCACCAGCCTGGTGGTTAGCAAGGTGTACCAGAAGCACAGTATCATCGCCCATAAACCCGGAACCCCTGCCGCGGATCGACGCGGGTAAATGTTAAGTGGAGTCTCGCTCCGTCAAGTGGAGACTTTCTCGCCACTCTTAAGGCTGAGTAATCACAAATAGCCCAGGCCAGACCAAGCTGTGCAAGGGCTCAAAGTTTGCAACGCGATTTTGCCCATCGTAACCGAGCTAGACGTTTCGAAGCCCCATTTGGTATCCGGTTTTGACCTACTAAAACAAGTTAAGAAATTTATACAGTTGACACCAGGCTAGAGTAATAAGGAAAGGATAGGGCACGGTAGGGATGTACAGTGACTGGCCATAAGTTTGGACACCCTCCTTAGACCCACTCAGCTATTACATAATTCTTACCTCAGTTCCGGGAATTGATAGGGACACTCCCACTTTTGTTCCGGACACTCCTAATTATGTAATATCCATGATTAGGTAATTGAAAACGTCATGTGATTGTATTGGTATTCATTCTCCGTATTATTTACATGACCTTCGTGTATGCCCAACTTTACCACATGCAGTGCATTTAAAGGGTGCCCTCTTCCGTTTATTCATAGTCTCGCTGTCGTCTTTCTGCTCCAATTGATCCCACTTCCGCTTTTTAGGCTTTGGAAAAGGAATCAAAGGCTCTAAGAGAGGAAGGTATTCTGATTCCATTTCAGAAAGCCCAGTTCGCCAGAATGGGTGGATATCTGTCAATGGGATAGCTTTATTGCTCGGCAATAAACTAGTAATCCGATGGGCACAAGGAAGACCCATTGTCCTTGTGAACGTATTAGTACAAGGGGGTAAAGGAGCAAGATTTGTAGCTCTTCTAGCCTTTGTAACTTGCTCGCCAATCAGTCGTATCGAATAGCGGGAGGTCCTGATCACAATATTAGTATAAAGTTGATGTAAGGTTACTACTGGCCTCTCAATCTGATCTCGTCTAAAATCATATTCAAGCGTAGCATGCTGGGTTTGTAAAGCCTGTGAAATCCTTTCAAATACGATCAACATATCCCCTGTCGAAGCACCGATGTGCTTTTTTAAAAGGCATGTGAGCCTTCAACTCGAGAGGTCGCAGAATTACCGAGGTGTAGGCATTGTTGTGTCCATGCAACTATGAATTTTTCTTTATGAATTAGCCATGTCTCCTTAACATATCGAAGAGAAGGGGAGGTCTGATATCGCTTCTCGAACTCTGATAGCCTCGAATTGTAGTCGTTCTCTGTAGTAGAATAAATTAGCTGATTCCATGATTCCATGATTTTTGAAATGTTTGATATTCGGCGTTCGTCGTAAAATGCTGCTTCGTATTAGACGTTACGTTCTTGTTAATATGCCAGATGCAAAGAAGATGGGGATAATCTGGACAGACGACCTTGACAGCACCTAATAATGCAAGGTCTCTATCTGTACAAAGAACTGGATAGAAAGAGAGGGGGTCGAGAAATGAGAAAAAAGTCTTTAAAGCCCAAATATAGCTCTCTTCCTGTTCATTCTGCATAAAGCAAAATGCAACGCTAAAGGTTGAATTTGATGGCGAGACACCAATAATATGCAATAGAGGCATACGATATCGGTTTGTCTTATAGGTGCAGTCTAGGACGAATACCCTGTTGTATAGGTTAGCATACTTGATTGACTCTGGGTGTGCAAACATAAAAAAGAGGACATGTCCTTCGCTATCCTGCTTAATAGCATATTTCCAGTGATTTTCCTTCAAAGTCTTCAGTAGAAACTCAAGGGGAGTACTATTACCGAGCTTTTGCCTTCGTAAAGCACTTCGCGCATTGTAGATGTCTCGAGGGGTAACTAAAGCATTAGGATGCTCTCGTTTGATTAGAGCTAGGATGCCACGAGGGTTAGATCCAATTTCCGATAGATGTAGGACCTTTTGAAGCTGCTCCTCTGTGAGCCGACGGGCAGCTGAATGTCCGATCATATTATCATCAGCTGTGTGATTATGATTCCGGTTTTGGACCTGTAACTCCCACTTATCATCAAAAAGCATTTTCCCGTATAGCTTAAATGGACAGCCAATCCGCCGTGTAGTTGTCGTTCTTCGTTTCGCTCCATCAGGAGCATTCACTCGGTCACGATACGTTCCACCACGGTCACAACCAAGATAGATGTACTTATCTGTGATTGATCGTATAGTAGTGACAGCGTAACCTTGCGAGAGAGCATGCTGACGGACAGAGGCAATTAATAAATCTCTGCTATCAAAAATTTGCTCAGTAGGGGGCTCCATTTCTGAAAAATCCGAGAGGCAGAGATTTGAGGAGCTAAGAAAAGAGGGAGGCGAGGGCTGGGGATTTATACTAGACCTCGCCAAACGCGGGTTTGGGGCGGGTTGTCGCTTTCTCCTACCCGCCCACGGGTAACCCGCGCGGGTTTTGGCCTTCATGAACCCGCCCGTGGGTTCTTGGCGGGTACCCGTGGGTTACCCATATAACCCACCAAAATGCATAATAAGTGAACAAAAGTGTATTAGTCAGTAGTGGTAATATTGGTAATTTAATTTTGTCACAACTTTATATGGGAGATACCGTCTCATGAAATGTCTCACCACCTCAATAATATATATATTATATATGTACAGGCAATTGTCCAGCCAGAGCGCGCTCTCCGAACACTTTTGCATCCCAGCGTTGGCACTAAGAACATCCATCGACCCTTATTGATATCAAGCCTCTCGAGGACACTTTAAGCTATAATATCCAGAAAAATGATTGACCAGCCAGTGAAGAAGCATCCTCGCCATCGTTTTACTGTCGCACGAGTTTTGGGTACCCGTGGGTTTAGGGTACCCGCGGGTTGACGCGACCCACTATCTCATACAAAAAACCACCGCGACGCGTTGGGAAAAAAAATCACTCTGATCCCACGAAAATTCCAATTCTTGGAACTCCAACGAGCTTGAGCTATGAGCATCGAATCTCCAAAAGCCATGTCCTCGCGGTCAATTCATCGGTCTTTGAGCCCCTTGCTCTCCATTGAGCCATCATCAGATGTTTCCATGGACTCGGACTTCCAGTCCTCGGTACGATACTCTCAAAATCGCAGATTAATTCAACAACTCAGAGACGCAAGCACATACTAACCAGTTAGCCTTTCACTGGCTCCCGACGTAGCGTCGATAGTCCCGCTCAACAACCTCCAACGATACTTCGACGCGTCGGACCGGACCGCAGAAAGAACTGGATATTGTACGAGCCTGAACATTCCAGCAGTTTTTTGACTTGGTGGCAAAAAACAGAATATGGTCAAGTGCTGAATGGCGACGGACGGTCTAAAATAAAGTGGTCGATGGAGTCACATTACGCTGAAGTTTGGAAGCATTTCGACCAAGTTGCGGGCATTGAAACTGGCATTCCCAAAGTGATCTGTAGGGCTTGCTTGACCCTACTTGATCATCCACAGCACAAAAAGCACGGCACAAGCGCAATGGGAAAGCACCAGAGATCCAAGTCCTGTCGAAAGGGCCAGAAAAGAACATGCCATCAAGCTCTCGTGTCAAACTCAATCCAGAAAGCCTTCTTGGGAGTACCATCCGGTCCGAACAAGTTCACCACATCGCAGTTCGAGGAGCGGCTGCTGAGGACCATTGCTTGTCTTCGTCTGCCCTTCCAGACCGTTGAAAACCCTGAATTTCAAGCACTCCTCAAGTTCATCCACCTCGGACCGGGAGAGCTAGAAATGCCTTCAGCAAAAACCTTGCGACGACGCCTGCGTGACGCTGTAAGAGGACAACAGGAATCACAGTTGCGAGATCTACCCGAAGACGCCAAAGTTTCACTTGCATTAGATTGTTGGACTAGTCCCTTCCAGCAAGCATTCATGGCAATTACAGTCTACTTCATCGATAGAGATTGGAACTACCGCGAGCTGCTTCTTGGGTTTGAGCCTTTGCATGGACCTCACACAGGAGTCAATTTGAGCGACGTGCTCCTCCAGCTGCTCAGAGAAAGACAGCTATTGGGTCGTATCTTCAGCGTTACCACGGATAATGCAACAAATAATGAAACCCTCATCCGAGCGCTGCAAGAATCACTCATTTCTAGTGGCGCCATCGGCTCGAGAGAATCCATTGTCCGTGTTCCATGCATGGCCCATGTGATTCAGCTTTGCCTCAAGCAGCTGTTGGGGCATATCAGAGCTGCTCCCAAGAATAAAGAAGTGAGAAGTTTTTGGTCCAATTCACAAGCTCTTTGTCTCAGGGACTCAGTGGACCATGGTGAGGTGGCGCATACTCTAGCAAAGGCGAGTCCGTTGATTTCGGACCCGTCATATTTGGACATTGCTGACGGTGCCTCTTCCACAGATTCGGTCCTTTGCAGTTTTTGTCAACGCCAGCCCCCAGCGGCGAGATGCATTCCTGTGCCTCCAATCTGGTGGAATGCGACTTTTCCCGTTGCATGATGTTCAGACCCGCTGGAATTCCACCTTCTTGATGCTTCGACGAGCGCGCCGACTAAGGAATACCATCGACAAATACTGCCGAGACCATGACTATTCACAATTTAAAATCACTGACATTGAATGGCGGCAAATTGACTATCTTGTTCACTTGACGAAGCCGTTCTTT